TAAGTGAAATTACGAGTAAATTTATCATCAAGTTAAATATGGAAAATCTTAAACTTACCTCGTTGCGTAGAGTATGAACCTCATTCTGCAACGATACTACCATCTCACGTAGAGCGGCAACCTCACCACGTAAAGTAGACACCTCCACACGCCATGCACCATCATTATCGCGTAGAGTACCGATCTCCTCACGCAAGGCATTGACCTCATCACGTAACTCCCTTGACTCATCCCGTGGAGGTGGAGAATAGGGAGATAGAAGTCGTGGCATCTTTGCCGGTCGCCTATCATGAGGTGATGGTAGAGAAGAGGCTCGATGATGTGACGGGATAGGTGATGGCTCTCGTTGTAGAGGTGTATAGTCGGGTCGATCAGGTGATGGCTCTGGGTGAGGTGATGGCTCTCGAAGTGGAGGAAGTGGAGGTTGCTCATCATTCATGCCATCAAGAAAACGCTGACTAGCTTGCCACCAATCAGTGGCAAGCTCAGCCTCCGTGGGTGTCAGTCTCATTAATGGAATGTTGGCCTCCTAAAAATATAAAAACTCAACAAAGTTAAACGTCTACTATTAATAACTTGTTTATATATGATAGTATTTGTGTTAACTTACATTATTATTGTCGCATATGGTATTAAGTCTTCCCAATCCAACAGACGTTTCCTCTTCCAGGAAATAGCCCTGGGAATATCATTTGAAGTTTTTATTGCATATGTCTTCATGGCGGGAAAGGCCTCGAATATCCAAATCTACAAACAATATAATAACAAACATTAGTAATTGTTAAATAATTAATTATAATTTTGAAAACATTATATAGAAATTCTTACCTTAAAGGCCCAAACAAAGCCTGACAAAGTGTATTTCGACCCATCGCCCCGCAAACTTTTGCGGTCATCAAAGGCATACGACAACTTAGTCCAGGTAGCTTTCCATATATACGAACCCCACGGAAATAGATTCCATGCATTTAGGTCATCTACCAATAATATTAGCTCATGAGGAATAGGTTGTCTGGACTCTCTGCCTAAAAAGCCGGCATACAAAAGTAGTAGAAGGCATACTCGGACAACATCGACGTCATTCATCCGAGTAAAACCATCTTTCTTATTAAACAATTTCTTCATGTCGTCGACGTGTAAGTTCGGCTTCTCTATTGACTCATCAGGAAAAACCCTGGATAACCATGATGGGCGGGTGATATGACGAGTGTACCGGCCTACATCATCGTGTCCGAATCGTAGACCATTGATTAAGCAGAACTCCTTCCGCCCAAAACAAGTATACGCCGGTGGAAAATGAAACCATATCTCTTCCTCACCACGTTGTATACTGTCGGGTAGATCGCTAGTCATGGTCTGAAGCCACAAATGGGTCAAATTAGCATCTCCACCCGGATGCTGTACTCTCAGCCATGGCCCGAAGCAGGTTTCCTCAAACAATTTTCTTTGTGCAGGTGAAAGCTTCGAAGCAATTGTAGTGGCTAGGCTAACTTTATTCCTTAATGTCAATGAAGCCGAAAAAAATTTCTACAAAAACAATAAACATACCAAGTTAGATATACAAAAAACTACACTGTCAAGATATACCAAAAACAATAAACATAAATAGTAGTTTATTCTTGAAACTAAAATTTGCAACACTGTTTTGTCTTTTGGTTGAAATGAAAATCGCAACGAGATAATGAGAATCGCAACGCGGAAATGACTATCGCAACGCGAAATGACTATCGCAACGAGCGAATCGCAACGCGAAATGAAAATCGCAATGCGATTTTGGTTTCGCGTTGCGATTTTTATTTCGCGTTGCGATTCTCTCGTTGCGATAGTTATTTCTGCGTTGCGATTTTCATTCTCGAAACTATTCTTCTTCTGCATTACTTCAACCAAAAGACAAAACAAAGACAAATATTAACTTCACAAGCTAAACAGTTTAGCAGTATTGGCAGCAATCGAATGAATTTAATAAGAAATCTAAGTGAAATTGTTAATCTATTATTGAAATTACCAGTAAACTTATCATCAATCTCAATATGAAAAACCTAAAATAATGCAAAAATTTCAAAAAAAAAAAAAAAAACTAACCCTCGGAGGTTGATTTTCCATTTCTGAATGATTGTGAGGGATTTTTGACTGTGAATGGTTGTGAGGGATTTCGCCGGCGATGGGGACGGAAATCTTCGGAGATGGGGTCGGATTTCGCCGTAGAGAGTGAGAGATGGAGATGGGACTGAGTGTTGTGATTTTGGGTTTGAGGTTATGAGTTGCGATTACTGTGGACGGTTTAGTTTCCGATTTATTAAGAAAAAATTCGTGTTTGGAATTTGAAAAAAAAAATATGTGTTAATACGAATGGCGCTATGTAAATCGCGTTGCGAAAGTCAGAATCGCGTTGCGAAAGTCAGTATCTCGTTGCGATTTTGTATTATCGCATTGCGATAGTAAGTATCGCATTGCGATAGTCAGTATCGCATTGCGATTTTCCCAATTCGCGTTGCGATTTACTTATTCGCATTGCGAATTGGGAAAATCACAACGACACTGTAGACCATCGCAACGCGATTTTCAACTATCGCAACGCGAAATGCAACGCGAATTTGCGATAATGGAGATCGCGTTGCGAATTAGCGATCGCATTGCGATTTTGCTGGTCATTTTGGCAAATCCGGAAAAAGTTGGTTAAAATCGTATATTATATGGGATTTTTGGTCACTGAGGTTATTTTCTCTTTATATTATTATGCCCCACTAAGTGAATACTTAGTGTGTAATGGTTTGACGAGTAGGTAATAGCGTACGAGCGGAGTAAGGAGTGCAGCTGACATCGTGAATCAAAGGTTGCCTCATCAGTAACTGTATGCCAATTATGTCTACTTTTGATATTACTAGATGTCATGTAATAGATTTATGATAATGCTCTGAAATGTACTTAACTTATGATGTTGTAGTATTTATTATGTTAGAACTTTAAGACTATTTTACAAAATATTAGTTAATGAACTTTTTTATTATTATTATATTAAAATATTTTATTTATAGAAACAATTTTTTACTGATTTTATAATACGAAAATGTTTTAAAAGTTATGTAACATATGTGACTCGTGTACTGGGACGTATACGGGAAATGGGTGTTACAAACCTATAATCGAATCATCAAAATAAATTTGTTTATTTACAGTTAATTTTTATATAAATAAAAATAACCTAAATCAAAAAATTAATCAGAGTAAAAATAACTTAACAAAAGACCATTAATCGAAACAAAATCAAAAGATTACAAGAACAAATGGAGTATTAATTAAAAAAGAAGAAGAGAAAGATAGGAGGAGAAAACTTATTTGAAGGAGAACACTTATTTGAAGGAGAACACTGGAGAAGAACTTAATTTTTTTTCTCTAAGCAACGACAGAAAGAGGAGAGAGGGATAAAGAGTCAAGTTAGGGATTTATCATAAAAGAAAAAGTAATTTTGAAATATTTCATTTATTTTAAGGGCATTTTTATCCAATTCGACGGGAATTGTTAAATACCTAATATTTACAAATGAATGGGATTCCCAAGAATGTAAGCTAAAAAAAATACTGTAGGCAATGATTTATTACTCCCGGTGAGAATGCTTATAACCAAACATGGGTATATGATTTCGAAAAAGATTATTCCCGTAATAATATTTTCTCCATTCAAACACCCTTTAGGGTTTAGCATTCTTTATACATAAAAACAAAGTTTGTGTTCAAGTCTGAACCAATTATGGGAACATAAACCACCTTAATCCTCTTGGACGTAGCCATAACTGGCTTACGCTTGTACACTTTTAGCACTCTTTATACATAGAAACAAAGTATTTGTTTACTTTTTTCCTTTCTTTTTTCCATTCAGTTTTGTGCTTCGCGCACGTGAGGTGTTTTTACGTGGATGAAAATTGAATTCGTTTTTCTTTTTAATCAGAAAAATCTAATCAAAAAGTTTATTTTTACAATAAAAAGTTAATATAAAATAATAATGCAGATTCAATCAATCCGGTTGAACAAGAGACCACGTTTTCAAAGAACAAAGAAGAAATGAAGACCGAGTCAACTACTCCTAATTCACCCTTCTTTATCACATGCTTTCTTCATTCCAATGAAGAAGACCAACACACTTTCTTAGTGGTTTCTCTCTTCACTTAATACTTTTCTATGTAGCAATTACCCAACTTGTTTGTTTTTAAAATAAATAAACTCGGTTTTCACTTATCATGCTTGTAAAGTTTTCATATTTACATCATGCCTTGAACTAATTTATGAAACCAATAGTGGAATGTCATTAAAATTGTAATTTTATTATTAAATCTTGTTATATGGTATTTCTACATAATTAGAAGGATAAATAGTTAGAAGAAAGAAAAAGACAGGGTTTGGCCCAGTGCAATAGTCATTGGAAAAAAGAGAGAAGGAGAAATCGCCAACCTTGGCCGACTACTTGCAAATAAGAATAAGCACCCAATTTGCACCACACGCATTCAAATCCACCTACCGTCTCTCATTTTAACTTTTCACCATTTATATTGAATTAATTAGTTTAGCAAAATCCAATGTTTTATATTTTTGTTGAATATGTTCATCTTTATTATCAATTAAAATCTAAGGCTTAAACGGATGTTTAATGGTTTATTAGCAAATTTGATTTTTTTATACATAAATTCACTTACGCATAATATTATGATTCAATTTATGTCGGTTGCTAAACCGAACAATATTTTTTTTATTTAATTGTTGTGTTGGGTAGGTGGAGCAAAGAAAATGGAGGACACCCGCAACTTTCATTAATGAAGAGATGTATGTATTTCTTGCATATTGGATTACACTTTTTCATTTCAATCTAAACACAAAAATAAAATAATTGAAAAATGAGGAGCCTGTCGTACAGTTGCATGTGTTTATAAATATTGTGCTTCAGTCTGGACACGGACTTCACTTGCACCCTTCTTCTCTATTGTCTGCAAATTGTAAACCAAAGGTGACAAAAGAGAAGAAGAAGAAAACAAAACAAAGTGAGCCAAGGAAGTTCTCTTAGATTCTCAACTTCATAAATTCCAAACGACCCACACACGAACGAAAGAACCAAATTGGGCTTTGGTTTTCTTGCAATTCATTGGTTTTCCTTTTGTTTGTTTGTTCGCTGTGAAAACACGAGAGAAAATCCTTGTGAAGGGGTTTCCCTGTTTCGTTTTTTCAGCACAGCTGGTGCGTTTTTTTTTTTTTACGTTCAGATGTTGTTTTTGTTTACAAAGCATTGAAAGTCTCGTAAGAAGGGGTTGTTAATTAACAAGAAATGTTGACATGTGAATCCAGGGAATATGGATGGTATAGAGAGAACAAGGAATCCCAGCAAAAGGACTGGGCATAGCAGCATAGGGAGGAGCCTAAGCAGGAGTAGCTGGAGCATGGAAGATGTATTTTCAGGCTCCAAGCGGAGTAACCGAGTGGATGAAGACGAAGAAGCTCTCAAATGGGCCGCCATCGAGAAGCTACCAACCTATGATCGCCTCAGAACCAGCATCATGCAATCCTTTGTGGACCATGAGATTGTGGGGCACAGGGTGGAACACAGAGCAGTCGACGTTACCAAGCTTGACATGACTGACAGGCAGAAGTTCATCGACATGCTCTTCAGGGTTGCCGAGGAGGACAATGACAAGTTCTTGCGCAAGTTTAGAAACAGGATTGATAAGTAAGTTCGATTTCGTTTCCAATTTTCCTACTCTTCTTTCCCTTATAAAAACTCTGTCAGCTCTCATTACTTACTCCTTTTTTTTCTTCCTGATTAGGCATCAAGGAACTACGACTTTTAATTCTCAGTTGGCACATCTCACCATCTTTCAGTGTCGTTAACCTAATTCCATGGACAAATTTCTTGTTTTCCAACTTAACCTAAAAATGTCATATATTATACACGGTGTAAATCTAATTTACACCTTATAATATAGAATTTAAGATTTGAGATTATGATTTTAAATTTTAGAGTTTGGTATTAAAATAAATAGATTACATAATTTATATGTTAAACTTGCTTTCACTACGTTTTATCATTGAAAAGACAAATGAATAGAATTAAAAGGAGAATTTTTGTGAATCCAGTTAGTGGTAAGAGAAGGAATCAAACCTTATCTTTGTTCTGTTGTCTTTCTTACAAGTGGCAACCAAAATCTTACATCGAACTTATAGCACAATTAAGTTAAAACAACATTTTAAGTAATAAATCAAGGCTTTAAAATGTAATAATCTCTTTGGTTAATTTTGTTGGTGATAAATTACGACAGGGTTGGGATTCGACTTCCGACGGTAGAAGTTAGGTTCGAGCACTTGACCATAGAAGCCGACTGCTATGTCGGCAGCAGGGCTCTACCTTCTCTTCCGAATGCAGCAAGGAACATCTTCGAGTCGGTCCTTGGAATGGTCGGAATCAGACTTGCCAAGACAACTAAACTCACCATTCTTAACGATGCCTCCGGAGTTATTAAACCATCAAGGTATCATCTCAATGCTTCTTTCATTTCATATTTTCGTTTACTCTGTCACTACATGATGTTTTTATTCAACATGTAATTTATATATTTACTTTTTGTTATAGGATGACACTTTTACTAGGTCCACCTTCTTCTGGGAAAACTACCCTTTTGCTGGCATTGGCGGGCAAGTTGGATCCTAGCTTAAAGGTCGTTTACAAATCAATCATTTTCCCTTTTTAACTTTTATCCTAATGAAGTTTTCTCACAAGTCCCCGAGATTAACAGTGACCGGAAAAGAAAAAATAGCTGATTTTCATCTTCCTCTTGGGGGTGAATCAAACACAGGTTAAAGGAGAAATAACATACAATGGATACAGACTGAATGAATTTGTTCCTAAAAAGACATCTGCATATATCAGCCAAAATGATGTTCATGTTGGAGAAATGACTGTCAAAGAAACCTTGGATTTCTCAGCGAGATGCCAGGGCATTGGCACTCGATATGGTATATATATTTTAACCACAATTTGATCAGTACTGAATTTGTCGATGAATTACTCAAAACCGCAAGTGTTTTGTTTGTTATAGATCTCTTGAGTGAGCTTGCTAGAAGGGAAAAAGACGCAGGAATTTTCCCAGAAGCTGATGTAGACCTTTTCATGAAGGTAAACAAAGGCAAAATATTTGTTGTCATTTGTGCGTTAGTTTTACATTTGTTTTCATACCATTATACGTGGATTACAGGCAACTGCAATGGAAGGAGTTGAAAGCAGTCTTATCACCGATTACACACTTAAAGTAAGTTATTAGGCATGAAGTTCAACATTTACCATAACAGATGTCTTTTGACTTATATTTTTTTCCCTCAGTCATTGAAAAATTTTGTTATTTTATAGTTCAACAAAATCAACCATCGATCACCAATTATATAGAGTCGGTGGATAATATGGGCCCTTTGCTCTTCCAATTTCAACGATTTTGTTGGTGGTGAACAATTTTTATCATTAAAATATGAATTTTCCTAAATACCAACTTGCATAAAGATTTCTAAAGGAATGCTAGTTAAAAGTAGTCTCATTAACCATGGCAGTGATAGATAAAAGGACTTTTTGGTAACGTAATGTTTTCATATATTGTTGAATTGGTCAGCTTTTGGGGCTAGACATATGCAAGGATATCATTGTTGGAGACGAGATGCAGAGGGGAATTTCTGGAGGTCAAAAGAAAAGAGTAACAACAGGTTGATTATTAGCATTAATATGTGGTTTAGTTTTAGTAAAATGCAAAATGTTCACATTCATGGGACCAAATTTCAAAGTTGATCTCCCACCAACCCTTCACATATGCAAATGCCTCTAGTTTTAGCTTAATTTCATTTTTACGTTCTCAATGACTAATGATAATAACGTAATGATTGGATGAACCATAGGGGAGATGATTGTTGGACCTACCAAGACACTTTTCATGGACGAAATATCAACTGGCCTTGACAGTTCCACGACATACCAGATAGTAAAGTGTTTGCAGCAGATTGTGCACCTAACAGAGGCCACAATCTTCATGTCCCTACTCCAACCTGCTCCCGAGACCTTCGATCTCTTTGATGATATCCTTCTTTTATCGGAAGGCCAAATCGTCTATCAGGGTCCACGCGAGCATGTTGTCGAGTTCTTTGAGAGTTGTGGTTTCAGATGTCCTGAAAGGAAAGGCACAGCTGACTTCTTGCAAGAGGTAAAATTAAAACGCCTTTGTTGGTTCAATTTTTTAACTTACATGGTAACAGTAAATTCAGGTTTAGTTTTGTTTAGTTAGAATGTAAAAAAAATGGTGCTACATAAGCTGACAAGGTAGTGAAACTGTGACAGGTTACCTCAAAGAAGGACCAAGAGCAATACTGGGCAGATAGGAGTAAACCTTACAGATACATAACAGTAGCTGAGTTTTCAAACAGGTTCAAGCGTTTCCATGTCGGAATGAAATTAGAGAATGAGATCTCCGTGCCTTTCGACAAGTCAAGAGGTCATCGAGCGGCATTGGCCTTTAAAAAATACTCGGTCTCCAAAATGGAACTTCTTAAAGCGTGTTGGGACAAAGAATGGCTACTGATTAAGCGGAATTCATTTATTTACGTTTTCAAGACTGTCCAGATTATCATCGTGGCAATCATTGCATCAACGGTATTTTTGAGGACTGAATTGCACACCAGGAATGAGCAAGATGCGGCAATCTATGTAGGTGCGCTTCTGTTCGGAATGATCATCAACATGTTCAATGGTTTCTCTGAGCTCTCCCTGATGATCAGTAGGCTTCCAGTGTTCTACAAGCAAAGAGACCTTCTATTCCACCCTGTCTGGACTTTCACTCTGCCAACATTCCTACTCCGGGTTCCGATATCTATTCTAGAATCCACCGTTTGGATGGTAGTAACATATTACACAATAGGGTTTGCACCTGAGGCCAGCAGGTAAATGGATTTCGAGCTTTCTCTTACTCGAGCAACAAGTTAAATAATAGCTCAAACTAGTATTAACTTTCTAACCCCTTAAACTTATGGCCAGGTTTTTCAAGACATTCCTGTTGGTGTTTTTAGTTCAACAAATGGCAGCTGGGCTCTTTAGACTCATTGGTGGGATATGCAGAACAATGATCATAGCTAGCACAGGTGGGGCTCTCACTCTTCTCCTTGTGTTCTTGCTGGGTGGCTTCATCATTCCAAAAGGTGAAATCCCAAACTGGTGGGAGTGGGCTTACTGGGTTTCACCTTTGACTTACGGTTACAATGCCTTCACTGTTAATGAACTATTTGCACCAAGGTGGATGAACAAAAAGGTATGTTATTCAATTTTTTTACAGACAAAAAGACCATAAAAATGCATGTATATTTTCATTTGAAAGAAGGCAAGTTACAAGCGGAATCTTTGTTCATAATGCAGGCTTCGGACAATGTTACAAGTTTGGGTGTACAAGTGCTAAGGAACTTTGATGTTCCCAATAATAAAAACTGGTATTGGATTGGCGCAGCTGCTCTTTTAGGCTTCACAGTGTTGTTCAACGTTCTCTTCACCTTCGCTCTCATGTTCCTAAACCGTAAGTTTTAACATTCTGCTAGGCTAATGTGTCTCTTTTGTTGTCTCTATGTGTTTTTCCTTTAGGTGGCTAACCTTGTACATTTTCTTGGTTGGCGTAATAGCCCTTGGGAAGCCACAGGCTGTAATTTCTGAGGAAACTGCCGAAGAGCTGGAGGCTAACAATGAGGGTTCTAAGGGTGAACCAAGGTTAAGGAGACCAAAATCAAGCAAAGATTCGTTCTCCCGATCTCTGTCTTCTGCGGATGCAAACAATACAAGTAAGAAACATGACAAAATGGACTATGTTCATCTTGTTTCTCCCTTAACTCAGTTATCATTATTAATTATTATGCTAATTATATCGAATGAAATCTTTTAGGAGAAATGGCAATCCAGAGAATGAGCGGTCGGACAAACCCCAACGGAATGAGCAGGAATGATTCTTCGATTGACGCAGCCAATGGTGTTGCTCCCAAGAGGGGAATGGTTCTTCCCTTCACTCCTCTAGCAATGTCCTTTGACACTGTTAATTACTATGTTGATATGCCACCAGTAAGAGCCATTTTCCACTCTCAACAACTCGTTTGAGTTATCTCTACATTCATCATCCAAAACAAAAAGCAAAATAAATGCATAAACCTCATAGTTGTTACCGTAGAGAATGGTCTAAAGTACAGTTATTTAACAGGAAATGAAGGCACAAGGTGTTGCAGAGGACAGGTTACAACTACTTCGAGGTGTAACCGGAGCATTTAGGCCTGGAGTATTGACTGCACTGATGGGTGTCAGTGGTGCAGGAAAGACAACATTGATGGATGTTTTAGCGGGAAGAAAGACCGGTGGATATATCGAGGGTGATATTAGAATTTCCGGATACCCCAAGATACAAGAAACCTTTGCTAGAATTTCTGGATACTGTGAACAAAACGATATTCACTCGCCCCAAGTTACAGTCAGAGAATCCTTGATTTACTCAGCTTTCCTGCGGCTACCTAAAGATGTCAGCAAAGAGGAAAAGATGGTAAGAAGTCTCAATTTTGTAATTTTCAGTGACATAAAGCATGGCTTTAATTGTTTAATTTAGTCTCTAAACAATATATGCTGTTGTGTTTTAGATTTTTGTGGATGAAGTGATGGAACTGGTAGAATTGGACAATCTCAAGGATGCCATAGTAGGTCTGCAAGGAGTCACAGGGTTGTCAACTGAGCAAAGAAAGAGGTTGACAATTGCAGTAGAGCTTGTTGCTAATCCCTCAATTATTTTCATGGATGAACCAACATCTGGCCTCGACGCGAGAGCGGCAGCCATTGTTATGAGGACTGTCAGAAACACTGTGGACACAGGAAGAACAGTTGTTTGCACTATTCATCAGCCTAGTATTGATATCTTTGAAGCCTTTGATGAGTTGCTACTGATGAAAAGAGGCGGGCAGGTGATTTACTCCGGACCAGTAGGTCGACACTCTCACAAGATCATTGAATATTTCGAGGTAGGTAACTATAGCATGATCTTCAATATCTAGTACACTAATCTATCAAAAAAGAAGACATCATTTGATTCCTCTCTTATTCACCATTGCAGTCCATTCCTGGAATCCCCAAAATTAAGGACAAGTACAACCCAGCTACCTGGATGCTAGAAGTGAGCTCCGTAGCTGCTGAAGTTAGGCTCGGAATGGACTTTGCCGAACAATATAAATCATCATCCTTGTATCAGTAAGTCGAGACATAAGCAATAGTGACACAAATTCAATTGTTTTACCTCTTTCTTAATGATTGGAGCTAACACATGTGACTGTGAAACAGGAGAAACAAGGCATTAGTAAATGAATTAAGCACACCACCCCCGGGAGTGAAAGACCTCTATTTCACTACTCAGTACTCACAATCGACATGGGGTCAATTCAAATCATGCCTTTGGAAGCAATGGTGGACTTACTGGAGAAGTCCAGATTATAACCTTGTCAGATACTTCTTCACTTTGCTCTCTGCACTAATGGTCGGTACTATTTTCTGGCAGATCGGCACTAAAAGGTTAGTACCTATTTTCATGCTTATAATGTTGACATTTCTTATTCTCTTGTATCTGCAATAAAACCCGATGCTTCAATGGTTCAGGGAATCGACAACTGATCTTACAATGATAATGGGGCAATGTATGCTGCTGTCTTGTTCGTCGGAATCAATAACTGCTCAACTGTTCAACCAGTCGTGGCCATTGAAAGAACAGTGTTCTATCGTGAAAGAGCAGCTGGGATGTACTCTGCGTTACCTTATGCCCTTGCACAGGTGAGGGGAAGTCCCTTGCAGTGTTCAATCTGTAAATTCAAATGGTTAACCTATATAAGGTGCTAGATGATTAAAATTTAATTATATGGAATGCAGGTGTTTTGCGAGATACCTTACATTTTTGTCCAAACAACATACTATACACTCATTGTGTATGCTATGGTGGGTTTTCAATGGACGGCAGCAAAGTTCTTCTGGTTTTTTTCATCAACTTCTTCTCCTTCCTTTACTTCACATTCTATGGAATGATGACTGTTTCCATCACACCAAACCATCAAGTGGCAGCTATTTTCGCCGCAGCTTTCTATGCACTCTTTAATCTCTTCTCCGGCTTCTTTATTCCAAGACCGGTAGGTTTACTTCTTTCACAAGAAATTGAGATTTTTTTAATAATGTCCGCAGTCTAAGCTGATACGAAATTCATCACTATCTTGAAATTCAGAGAATCCCCAAGTGGTGGGTATGGTATTACTGGATTTGCCCTGTGGCATGGACGGTTTACGGACTGATCGTGTCACAGTATGGAGATATCGAAGACACCATTAAAGCACCTGGCATCAAGCCTGACCCTACTGTTAAATCATATATCAAAGATCAATATGGCTACGATTCGGACTTCATGGGACCAGTTGCTGCAGTTTTGGTTGCCTTTGCAGCATTCTTCGCCTTCATGTTTGCCTACTGCATAAGGACACTCAACTTCCAGACCAGATAGACACCATGCTGGAAATTCTTCCTGGAGCACATGTTTTACTTTTACAAGCAAAATGTGACCTTGTAAATACTGAAAATGGAAATCCACCAGAAATTCCAAACTGATCTCCAGTTCCATTATTCCTCTGTTGTCCTTCTAAGATTTTCAGATACTGTTTTCTTAATTCAAATTCGTGTAAGCTATATAGCATAGGTGATGGCGAAAAGTTCAGTTCGCAAAGAACGTTTCAAAAGTTGTACCTGGAAATGTAATGTTTTGTCGGATATATTAATCTCTCAGGGGAATCAGTCATATTGTTCTATGTGACTTTGTATGGGCTTCACAACCGTCATAATTGTAAAATAAAAATTCTTTAATCTTAAAATAAATAAAAATAAGTATAGTAAAAATTCCTTAATCTTAAAATAAATAAATAATAAATAAGTACAGTAAAAAGAAGAAAGATCGATCCACAGAAAATAAAGAATTTCTAATGTTGAGAGGTTTTGATTCTGATTTTGGCGAAAAAAATAAAGAAAGTGAGATATTTTAATTGAAAGAGTGAAATAAAAATAAGAGTAAAGTATAGTAATGGTCACTGAACTTTTTTAAAATTTGCATTTAGGTCCCTCCTCCAACATTTAGTCTGTTTGCAATATGGTCCCCGATGTCACCGACCGTTTGACGTTGTTACACTGCCATTAGAAGAAGATGACGTGGTAGTCCTCCAACATTTAGTCCGTTTGCAATATGGTACTGAACTTTTCAGGCGCTTGCATTTAGGTCCCCAACTTTTAAATCTTGCAACACAGTCCTCAATTTCATTCTAAAACCCAAATTCCTTTTCGATCTCGAATTTCCTTTTTCGCTTCTCTCTTCTCATTTCCAGCGCAACTTTTCAGTCGGGGATGCATGATAAATTCTAATCTAACTTTGAATTTTGTGGAGGTGTTGACTTGAATAAGGGTCCATTGAGAGAATACCCGACCAAGGGACTATCGGGACCATCAACGATTCAAGGTGTAATGTTAGATACATGTCATCTCAGGTGAAGCATAGATGTTCGATGAAATGCTTGTGAGAAAAAAATGGGGTTAGAAATGTAGAGTTGACAAATACTACTAAGATGAACTAAGTATCATTGTTGAAAATCACCAACAAAACTGGAATTATTTTGTATAAATGACATATAATAATTTCTTCGTTTAATCCTTGTGGTTAAATATTTTCCAACAGATGATCAAATATAATAAATTTCCAAACAGCGCCTTCACCTTTTTGTCTCTTTGCTCACATGCACTCTCGTTTGGTTTTTGTTATTCAATTTTCCGCCATGTAAAATTGTAAACTTAAACAATGCTCTGCCTTTCAGTTTTTTATTTACAAAGAAAAAATGGAGGAAGAATTATGTGTTTTTTGTTGAAATTTTTATGTTTTTGGAACTACATGTCAAGGATATGGATATTCAGTGTTAGTTTTGAACCAAAACCATCTAATTTTCTTTCTTTCTTCTTAATCAAAACTTTTAGTACTCATTATGAAAGATATTCAGTCCATCAAAATAGAAGTGAAAGAGGGTCCTAGGATAAATTTTTTTGACCTTCTTGTTTGGTTTTTCTTTAAATCAAGGAATTAGTTATGAGTATCGATATGTGAAATCGCCAGGCTCAATCCAAGATACTGCTGGTACTAGTTTGCTGGGAATTGTATTGATTTGACCTATGGTTTTCGACGTCCTGTAAGCTCATATTCTTTTTTAATAAGTTCAAATTGATTATGAGACTGATATATCGTGAACGAACTAATTTTTTTACATGTTTTGGAAATTTTACTGTTGAATATGTATTGAATTGTAGCTTTAGAAGACAATTATGTATGCATACAACTCGAAAGACATCATGACAGAGTAGTATATTTGGAGCAGCTACTTGATATGTTTCCCAGTCATTGCACATTTGCACCTTCATTTTCATTTTTGGCATATATATGTTTGTTGCAATGTCCTCTATGTTTTACAATGTCTTTTATTACTGACATGCCATGAATTTACAAAAATTATGGGGTCCTATGATTTTAGTTCCGTTATCTGCTTTAGATTATCACCATGTTTGGATATTGAGGAACATTAAACATGGAATATTAGAAGCGATTATATGTTAAAAGGGTAGGCCATTAATGCATTCGCAACTGGTAAAGTTGTATTTGACATCTAATGTCTATCTTAAACAACCCATTTGAACTCTTAGCTTTTGGAGTAACTATGACGAACTTCTTTCCCTTTATTTATTAAGTTCTCCTTTCAAATGAGTTATTAATTGATATTCTTGGTTTATTTAGTTATTGTTTGACTGTATGTTGTAGTCCTATGAACTAAATTTTTTATCATTTTCGCAGCCGTTGGATATGCATGCTCAAGTTCCATCCAAACCTACTGGATTGTCATACCAAAGTGTGGCAGTTGCGAACAAGACAAATTGGCCTTGTTACTTTTACTTCAACGGTTTATGCAATAAACGTGATAGGTGCACTTTTCATGTTCAAAGTACGACAACCGTTGGATGTGCATGCAACAAACCTCAAATTTATATTAAAGTAAACACTGTCAAATAGCAAATTCATGTTCGAAATTCCAAAACACTTCAATTACATTCTAAACCCCAAATTCCAAAATACTTTAATTATATTCTAAACCCCAAATTCCAAAATACTTCAATTATATTCTAAACCCTAAATTAAAGTATTTTAGAATTTAGGGTTTAAAATGTAATTGAATTATTTTGGAATTTGGGGTTTAGAATAAAATTGAGGATTGTGTTGCAAGTTTTAAAAGTTGGGGGACCTAAATGTAAGAACCTGAAAAGTTCAGTGACCATATTGCAAACAGACTAAATGTTAGAGGACTGCCATGTCATCTTCTTCTAACGGCAGTGTAACGGTGTCAAACGGCCGGTTACGTCGGGGACCATATTAAAAACGGACAAAATGTTGGAGGATTGTATTGCAAGTTTTAAAAGTTGTGGGACCTAAATGCAAGTGTCAGAAAATTTCAGTGACTATTACTATACTTTACCCTTTTTTGCATTGTAAATTATGTTGCATTCTGTTTGGTTCCAGAGAAGCCATGTTTAAGAAAGTTTCAATCATGGTTTTCAGAACCAGACCAGTTAACGAACCGGTCATGCTATCGGTTCACTGGTTCAACCGGTCGAATCGGTCCGACCGGTCGGAAGAACCGGACGACGTCATAATTATTTAAAAAATTAAATAAAAATACTAAAAATATTTAATAAAATAATTTTTATATCACAAGTCATATTCAAAGCAAGTCATATATATAAGTTAAAAACCATAAAAATCAAGTGAAACACAATATTCAAATTAACTACAACAATATTTAAGGTAAAACATATTAAATAATAAATATAATTATATACTATAATTAAAAAATAAATTTGGGGCTAAAAATCATAACAAAATGATATTGTTTGGTTTAATTTTTTATAAAAAAAAACAATCTCACTTGGCTAAGAAACATAGAAGAGCATCCCAAAAGTCTAAAAAGTAAAAATGTAACACCCCAACCCGTACCCGATCCGAATACGAGTCCGAGATGTCACATTGCATTTTTAAAACATTTTTCCTTACAAAATAACAAAACATTTGAACTTATTTTAAGAAAGTACTATAATAAATTATTGGCTACAGTACTTCCGTAAAACGTACATAAAACTCGTAAAAATTTAACCGTTCATTACTATACATTTACTTTTACATAAATACGTTCAAAACATTAGAAAAGTCGATCAGAGCGTTAGTACTAACAACTATTACATTTCTTACATGCCAACATATTATACACAATCAAAATACATACTTTATTAATTACTTCTGATCTGATCTTCTAGCAGTGTTGTTGTTTTTGCCACTTCTATTTATGCTAATCTTGGTTCTTCGTACCTACGTGTAAATCGCTTACACGCTAAGTCATAGACTTAGTGAGGCATAATAATAATAACAATGTTGCTATAATAAAATGAAACGTAACGAAAACATCTATGCAATCAATGTAAGCTACATAACAATGTACCTTACCAATAATCTTCTCAATTATCATCATAAATTCATATAATAAATTCCGTAAGGTCAATAGATTCAATAGCCCATGATAAAATAGTGAGAACCCGAGGTATGTGAGTACTGTGAGGTTGTGCACTATGCTGTCACCACAGCTCATATAAATTTGCACCGAAGTGCCACGTAGAATTTATCCCGAATGACAGCGTAGAGATGCACCGAAGTGCCACGTAGAATTGTACCGTAGTGCCATATAATATGTCCCTAAAGACCACATAGAAATTCCTTAAGAATCATATACATATACCAAGGATCAAGTAAATGTCTCAAAAGATCATATGCTCCAAAGAATACATATACGTCCCGAAGGAACACGTAGAATTTTGTCCCGAAAGACCGCGTAGACCCTCTACTCTTGGCATGCCAACTATAACTATAGTTCTCATCTACATAACATGGGCTTTTACATTTCACGTAGTTTATATCGCGTAGACATGTAACTTCTTACCTTTATCACATAGCTCATATCATCTTTTCATGTAATCATATAACTCCATGTTGCATAATTGGTCTCACATTTTCATGTAATACATAAATCAAGTTAAAACAATGCATATAACACACATAACATATGATCATAGTAATGTACACTTAGAATTCATATTATTATTCATGTATCAAGATATAAAATCTAGACTTATCACAAGTCTAGACCTGAATGTATTTCTATAATCATGCTATGCATATGCACTCACCTAAATCTCTTTGCCTTTCCCTCGATCGATCTTATTTGTCCCTTGTTCCGGAACTCGTTTAGGCTCGATATCTACATGAACATAATTTTCGAGACAATTATCAAAATCCTAAACCTTGCAATTAACCTCTAACAGCTTAAACAAATTTAATGAACCAATTTCAACTTTTCCTTTAGGGGGAATCGATTCCCCCCCAGGGTATCGGTTCCCTCCGCATAATCTGTAAATTTTATCCAGAAATTTACTGTTCAAATACGAAAATCATCAATTCTTCACTAAATTTTCTCATACAAAATTCCTTTCATACCACCAAACTTAACTACAACCATTTTAAATAACTTCTATCATTTCACCACTTTAAAATCTCTCATCCTTTATTCAAATTCTTAAAGCTAAGAATCATACACAACTTTCAAACATGTTATTAATCAATTATAACACTCTATATTCCTTAATTAACCTCTTGACAAGTCAAAAATCTTATTCAAACCTC